ACACACCATGGAGTCACCAGGGCAGACAGCCTGAGGACTGCCTTTCTGTACATTATGGAGTCTCTCAGGGCAGGCACAGCCTAAGTGCTCCTGTTCTATGTATCAAAGAGCAACTGGCATGAGGGCACAGCTTGCTGTGCATAATCCACCCCTGATTCCTGAGAGTAGGAGCCAAAGGCTCTGAGTGGAGAGTAATCTCAAATTTTTCTTTCCACATGATGCTGTACAGAGGCTGATGGTGCAAGTTTTGAGCAAATAGTATTCCAAGTGTTATTACAGTAGTGAGCATATTCCTTTTAGATGAGCCTCAATTGTGCTGGTGCATTATATCAACCAGTGCTGATTCAGCAGTTCCCACCAGACCACAAACGTGTGCACGGTATGTTTGCTTGAAGGGTTTCCCAGGAAAATGGAAACCATGCGTTTTGCAGGCACGCCCTCAATATCTTCTTCAAGTGCAGTGGAATTTGCATTGAGCACTGCAGCAGCATGTTTGGTGAGCTGAACTGAATTCTTGACCACAGTCAGTTGTTTGTGGAAGACATCCGGGGCTGTTCTGAGTTCCTTCTGCTTGTGTGAATAATGGTGTCCTTGTGTGTCAGATGGACACACAGAACTCCTTGGATTCTACCATGCCGTGGTTCAGGAAAGGTCTGGGGCCTAATAGGTGAGATTAGGTTTTCCACTCATGGTGACATCAGGGTGACGTTGATCAGTTTGTTCACTTTACATGTCCTGAGTTTGTGACAACACAAGCGTCTGGCCTGGGTGTGGCTGTGATGTTGCCCTCAGTGACTGGTGTGTGGCACAGTGTCCACAGTGTCCTGTGTCCCAACATGTGCAGGAGCGCTGGTCTGTGGATGATCTCATCGGGGCGTGATGACGTGGGTGATGCCTCGGTGCAGGTGGTGTCTCTGGTTCCGTACGCTGCTCTCACGCAGCTGTGTGTGTCATTGCACACCCCCACACACGCATGAGTCATCCGGCACCTCACACATGCATGGAATCCCAGCACCCCCACACACTCACCTGTCAGCCCAGTACCCCCCACACACTCACGTGTCGCCCCGGCACCCCCCCCCCGCACACACACGTGTCATTCCGGTGTCCCCTGCACACTCACATGTCAACGCGGTGCCCCACACATGTGCCTGTCATCCCGACACCCCCCTGTACATACAGGTGTCACCCAGTTGCCCCTGCATCCATGTGGGTCATCCCGGTATTCTGTGGTGCATCAGGGTCTGGGGAGGTGTAGTCACGCAGTGAGGTTGACGGGGACGTCTTCGGCTACGTGTGGGTGTTCATGGTTCGGGCTGTGATGCACTGCGATGCACACTTTTCAGTRTGTCCTTCTAGGGTCCTGGTACAGGGGAAATCGTGTCAAAATAACAACCTGTGAGTTCGGGGCCAGTCTGGGCTGTGTCTGCCCCCTCAGAAGGCTTTCCTCTGCAATGCTATCCTGTGAGCCTTTGGAAATGTGGATTTATGTCTTCCTGCATGTGGTCTGGGCAGTGTGCCCATGGCAAGGGGTTTATGTGATGCTTTGTCTTGTTTTCTTAGGTGCCTAATACGTCTTTAAATGTGTTCTGCCTTAAATTTCGTTGTGTGTTGTTAATAGGTATCTCTTAAATGTGGGTGAGTGTGGCCTGTGGCCAGTGGTGAACTAGCAAGTAGCACATCATCACCTGGATGTAATTCTTCACTGGTCACGTGCAGCCCCACAGGTGTAAAGGACTGCCTGCCCCACGTTCTTAATGGGTCCATTGCACCACGAGCAAAACGCAGGGCGCGGGGCTCCCTCAAGGCTTTGGCCACTGCCTTGAGTGTCCCCCCGAGTCCAGGGTGGTGATGGAACCCAGGGTGGGATTCCCCCAAGGTGCTGTGGCTCTCGCTGGTCCTGGGAAGCTGGTGCTGTCTGGAGGCAGCCGAGTCCATAGTCACAGGTCTCTCCACGGTTTCCTCCCCGTGCACGTCTTCCAGATGCATGAGGGCGTGTTGCCATGTGGTGTGAGGCTCGGCTTGGCTTCTCTTAGTGCAGTGTGTTACRTTGTAATGAGAGTCATAAGTCTGTGTGTGCAGAGGATGGCTTCTGCCGGAAATCCTGAGTTCTTGTTTCTGTAGAGGAGATTTTTGACTTGCATCTTTTCTGCTGCATGTTGTCAGAGTTCTTAGGAGTTGCTGCCTTCCTGTGAAACATGTGCTCTCTCTCGATCACCTGTCCCTCATCAGTTTTGCAAAAGAACAGAAGCAGGAGAAAGGCTGGCACTTAGCAGCCTGGGCAGAGGTGTGGCTCGGCTCTGGAGGCCCTTCCTTCTTAGTGCTGTCCTGTGGGCCTTGGGGAATGTCCAGTGGGCCACCAGACATTCATCTTCAGTTCTGCAAGCTGGACTCTGCCGGGACTGGCTCTCTACAGTTCACACTGGGGTTGGGCTGCCTTTAAGCAAATTGTAGCAGAAAAAGTTGGATTTCCTTCCCCTACTTCTGGCTTATCTAGCTCATAATTGCATCATTTTCTTTCTAAAGTCTCTTAGGGACTTGATCAGCCTTTGAACTCTTGGAAAACAAACAATAAGGAAAGCCAACTTGGCGAGGGTAGAAGCAGGCTGCAGGATTCCCGTGCCTGGCTGAGCCTGGAGAGCAGGCCGCAGCCCTGGGGTCCCCAGCTGCCCCCAGTGCCCACCCAGTGCACCATCCCCTCTGCCCACTGCCCTTGTCCTCCACCAAGAGCCCAGGGTTCCCAGTCTGTTTTCTGTGGCTCTATCTTCTCCCCTCTTACCAGGTCATGTCACACTGTCCCCAGCTAAGAGGACAAACATTTGTCAGGCTATGCCTTTCTTTCTAATCCGTGTTAAGTGGTGCCTTACAGTTACACATAATGGTGGGCTCATTGCACCTCATGTCTTTCTGTATAAATGAGTGTACAAATATACACATGGAGCAAGCTCCTGACACGTCTGAGAGTCTACTCTGCCCCTCTACTTTAAACTGGTAGGTCACATCCAAGTCTCTGAGAGGTAGATTCTGTCTTCAGGATCCGTTTTAGGATAGCGTTTTATGGTGACTATCAGGTTAGCTTTGGGGACCTCACGTCCGTCTCACACTTACCCGGCTGTGGCCCTCCGGATAAGGGTCAAGACACTCTGTCTCAGGAGTGTGGCTCTGGGGGACACTTGCCTAGCATGCTGAGGCACTGGCTCCACACCCATACCACAAGCACATGCACACATGTACACACTCACATGCACACATACGTGCACGCTACACACACATGCACCTAATCACACATATGCACACATATGCACACACATGCACATTTGCAAGTGAATGGCTGCAGGGAGGACAGGACACTCTGCTGTCCCAGCCATCCATGCTGGGGCAGGGCTGCATCCTGCACAGCTTCCTTCTTTGATCTCCTTTACTTTCCATCCTCCCGTGGAGCACCAGAGCCGTGGAACTGGGTGGGTTGGAAGAGACGCAGTCCATCTGGGCACAGTGGAACATGACTTAATCCCAGTGGCTTGGGAGGCTGAGGCAGGAGGATCTCAAGTTCAAAGCCAGCTTTAGCAACTTAGTGAGGCCCTGTCTCAAATTTTAAAAAATAAATAAATAAGAGGGCTGGGGATGTTGCTCAGTGGTTAAGCTCCCCTGGATTCTATCCCTGGTACCAAAAAAAGAATTAAAAAATAAAAAAGAAGAGATGCGTTTGGAAGGAAACCCCGTCCTTCTGCCTCCTGCAGGGAGCAGGGCATGGTGCCGAGGCCTGGGCAGTTCTGCATGCACCTCGGTCCCTCCTCTGGTTCTTTTGTGTGCTGCCCTAGACCTGTGTGTGTTCATTCACTCACTCTGCAGCCTCATGACTCCTCTGCACCCTCAGCCGGGGACCAGTTTTCACATGGAACCTGCAGATCTCGTTTTTCTAAGGCTTTACTAGAAAAGGCCTGATGACCCACAGCCTGCCTCCTGCTCTCCAAGTCTCCACTGAAACACAGCCTGGTTTACTTTCCATCTTTACAAGTATCTAATTGACATGCCAAGGCCTGCCCGTCTCAAGCTTTTCTCAAGACCCTTCTGTGAGGTGATTTGTAAGATGAGAAGGTCCCTGTTTCACTTGAAGGGACAGATGTGAGAGACCAGTTGACCTGGGGAGCTGAGCTTGTTCTGGCACAGCACTTCCTGCCTCCGGTTTGCGGGGAAGCAGGCGGCATGTGCTCGAAGTTCTGGCAGAGCACCACCAGCCGCGGAGAGTGTGCCACCCTCAGGGCCTGTCATCAGTGACCACTAAGGCAGAGGTGCCCCAGCATGAGAAAGGCACAGGCTTGACCATTGCTTCAGGTGGCTGTTACCTAACAAGTGCTTCATGTGCTCGAAGGAACCCCTAAACAGAAGCTGCCCTGTGGCACCAGTGCTTTCAAAACCAGGGCCAGTTCGCCTTCTCATCTGAAGTCACAAAGAGACAGCGCACGCGTGATGCGGGCGCAGGACATTCTAGAGAGCGCACGATGGTGTCACTGTCGGTCTCCACACTACCGGTGTATGTGTGTGCGTGCACGGACACAATGTGCTTATAAACAGAGGTCCTGAGCTCATCTATGAGATTTGAATTAATTTTCCTTGGGTATTTCTTTGAATTCCAGTGTTATCAAGTGAGGCTTCTTGACTGTCCTAGCAGAGGCTCAGTGTCAAAGAGCCCGTGGGGGGTGCTATTGAAGACTTCTAGGCTGATGATAGGGCCGAGAAGCCCTGCACCTGTGGCCTCATTTTGCCTTCCTCTTCTCTAGACACCCCTTTACCTGGTGGACCATGGAGAGAACGGGCCAGTCAGATGCAACAGGTGCAAGGCCTACATGTGTCCCTTCATGCAGTTCATCGAGGGCGGCAGGAGGTACCAGTGTGGGTTCTGCAACTGTGTGAATGAAGGTAAGCGGCGGTGGACTGCTCTTGGGGGAAGCCCTTCCTGTAAGCCCACAGGCATTCTGCGGCCTGGTTGGGAGAAGGCAGGTGGTCTCCGAGTCACAGCGCCCTCTCAGGACTCCCCTGGAAACTTGGTGTCTGGGACATCCACGTCCCTCTCAGCTCTAGGTGGCTGCTTGAGCCCTCGTGGAAGCTATAACTCAAAGGTGGGCGGGTTTATCCCAGTCCCTCCACCAAGCTCCAGCTGGAGGCAGATGGGTCCCACCGTGCTCCAGGTGACGCTCAGGGGACCTCTCTCTGGTCTGGAGTGACTTGCTGGCTGAGGAAGAGCTCAGGAGTGGGAGGGATTGACGCTGTGCTCCCCCGGGTGTCAGCCTGTGCTTGTTCATGGGGAACGTCAGGAAGCACCCGCCATCATCATCCTGTTTCCAGTTTCATTCGGGGATGTTGAGACAGCTGTGCGGAGTGTGCCTACACTGACTGTGCTGCAGCTGGTCTGTCTTAACCCCGAGCTGAAAGCACACACGGAGGCTGAGAGCACTGACTGCGCTGTAGCTTGTCTGTCTTAACCCCGAGCTGAAAGCACACATGGAGGCTGAGAGCACTGACTGTGCTGCAGCTGGTCTGTCTTAACCCCGAGCTGAAAGCAC